ATATATACCAAAGTTGGTATCAGGTGACGTTAATAGAGGACGAAGGCAAATGAAACGTTCAAACATAATAATCATGATATGGAAGTCACGTACGGCATAATTTACTTCCGCCTCTTAAAGTTGTGCTGATTTTAAAGTGACCCATCACCCTTCCTCATTCATGCTTCGCTTATAATCAATTCCGACTGTAAGTGGGATCTGCCATTGTTTTTCTTTTATGAAAACGAATACTGAGCTCTACTCTGTATACCCGATTGCGAAGAAAGGCATGCCATCACCCAGGGGTCAGAATGTAGTTGAGGTGTTGTGAATCGGCACGAGCCAAGAGCGAATGCGTTCGTCGGCTCCTCTGTACACCTCTCCGAATGCTCTTCCTCAGCTTCCGAGGCGAAATTTCAATCAGCGCGCATAGCACGCTAGCACGGGCGTTTTTTCGTGGTTTAGGTATCTGGCGTTTTGTTTTTTGCCCACAGAGACGAAACTATTTTGTAAAAAGAAGCGTGATGGTGGTAATTTCATGTTACATGCCACAAATCTTGCAATTACTTAAAGTACAAATATTATATTCGTATTTATTTTATTTCAGGCAAGCTAGCTTGAAATTAGTGTAGCGTGGCAAGCTAGCTTGAATTTGTGCAGTGTCCTTAAACTTGCGTTTTCGTGTTAATAGTAAAAATAACTGAATGACATGTAAAAAATTAAGCGCAAGACTGTAACATTATTACTGACGTACTTTTGTGTAAGTGACCTCTAGGTGACTGAGCCAATTAGCTGTCCCCGAGTCTGCATGAGACAACCTGACGTACAGATGTTCTGAAAGTGACTGCCTACGTGAAAATAAGAGATCAACGCTCTCAGAAACAATGACGATCAACACCATGTAGGTGCTAAAAATTCATCGTCGACCAGTGGTCTTTCTCAGGCAGTATTCCGCACTATAGCGTAGTGTAAGGTCACGCTCCGCGTGCCCTTTCCTCCAATTCAGGGGGACATTCGGACATTCTTGGCCGGAGAAGGCAAGGCAAGTGCCAACTACCAACTAGCCCAAATTGCCATTCTTCTTCAAGGCAAGTGCCCTCCATACTTCCTCCTTACTTCTTCCACAAACCCACCTGTTCGGTCTTGAAGAGTGTGAGTGACCGCAGGCAACAAGTGAGAGGGATAAATGAAGTGGTCAGGGAAGGCCAAGAGGTCTTTTGACTACGAGGAGTTTGTCAGCTGGAGACCGGCCCTGCTACTGAGTACTGACTCAACTACTGGGGAGTTTTCGCTTGAAGGATTTCAACCTGAATGCATGTACCGCCCGTAATCTCCGACGCCAGCGCAGCTCTCGCCGATTTATATGCCCTCTGCGATCTCCTGACGCCGTGCAGTTCTCGCCGTGTGGTGCTCCGTCCTCTATCTTCTTCGACCGGCTCCCATTTTTCCGATTTCCTTTTTAAAGACGATACAGCATTCTATTTTTCGGGTACTTCGACGCAAAAAGTTTGGTCTGTCTTTCTGTCTGTCTGTACCTTTGTTTGTTTTATTCACCGTAACGATACCCCAAATGGCACCAAGTGATGCTCCAAAGGGCCAACCACATCCGCAGCGCCCATAATTGCTCAAGTTTCAGCGTTCATACTTGTGCGATTGTGAGTTATAAATTGATTGTTGCTGATATATGAGGCACCATAACAACACGTCAATATTTTGTATGTTTGCCTTTATACTGGAGGAGGCACACATAAGTAATTCTAAGGCCCGTAGCGTTTATCACTTTGCGCCGACAGTGCTACGCGATGCTCAAAAGGGCATTTCCAACGCTTTGCTAAGACGACACGGTGCTGGAACCTGCCTGTCGCTTTGCGTTCTACACCTTATCGCCTCCAAGACAGGTGCGTATCTTTCTCAGTGGTTGCGCTCACCTTTCTTCGTTTTCGAAGATAACTGCCAGATAGCGCTTGTGTCTAACGTGCCTCGATGCGCTCGCTCGCCTTCGCTGCACGGATCGAGACTCTCTAACGCAGCGCTTCCAGAATATGATTCACCAATTCTCTCGCCACCATACACAAGACTATCATCTTTCGACGACATTTGCAGTGAAACATGCAGATATAGGGCCATTTTTTTTCGTCGATTGCCTTATACTCTCATTTTCTCCGTATCTTTCCACTGTTCTTTTTATCCCCCTTCCTCTAGAAGGTAGTGCGCCGTGGCGCCCTAGGGGCAGACATAAATTAAGTGCCTTATTCCCTCCTTTCGAGAATCACTGAAACCTACTGAAGGTGACGCTTTTTTTTTTTGCTGTACCTAGTCCTGCATGTCTTTGCTGTTTTTTCATCGTCCAGCTTAAAGGCGTCTTCCTATGGAGCCATCGAAGATGGCAGAAAACTGCGTCGCTAAGCTTGGGCCTGACCTTGCTTCGCCCGCAAAGGTGCTGTCCGAACGCCTACTAGTTCAGACAGAAATTCACTAAGTAGTAATATTAGTACGAAGTATTTTCACACGCAAAAAGCTCAAAAATTTTTGTTAAAGATGGAGCGAAAACCGCATCACTTTAGCTTGGCTGAGCCATAAAGAAAATTTTATATATCTAAGTTCTGGGAAAATATTGGTACACATATACGCTTTTTTCCCTTTTGCTTATACAATTGCGAAAATTGTGAGTGTTCATGAGAAGGTGTTTATGCTCAGCCTCGCTTTCCAAAAAAATCAGCATCAAGAAAACGTATGCCCACAGTTGCAGAAATGAAGAATCAGATTTCCTTTTTTTGAAATCTAAGTTGATAAACGGCATTCAGGTAGTGCCTAGACAACTTTTTAAGAATGAGTAGAGCTTGATGGTGACCTTTCACAGCTGTCCGATCTTCATATCGCTTCTTCATAAATACGTGTGCACTTATGCCTATTAATGGATTCTCGACTGCCGCATTGCATGCTACTTCTATTGTCAACACCTGGCAGGCCTGCGGCTGTTTGCCGTTGCTACAAAACAACTTCAGTACCGCCTACGCATACGCTACTTACGAGACATACGGCGCATACGAGACAAAGGATTTAAGGCTCCGGGGACTCGCTTGCTGGATTCCGTAATGAACGGTTTTGTCATTCGCGATCTCAGACGCCAGCGTAGCTCTTGCCTAACGGCCCGCCGTCTGCGATCTCCTGGGTCCGTGTTGCTCTCGCCGACCGGTGCCCCGTCCTCGGACTTCTTCGACCACTTCCCCCCTCTTTCCTCTCTCTTCGCTCCCTTTTCTTCGCCAGTGTGTGGCAAGTACACCATCTTCTGCATATCTTTCTCTTCCTGCTATTAAGTTCATCCCTTTCCACCATCCCTACAAGAAGCTTGACCGTGTCGCAAGTTAGACAGACAGAAATTAGCTCATTTTTCCTCTCCTTCAAGAACCACTTACATATACAAGACTTCCAGGATGATTTGAAGAAAAAGTAACGAGTGACATTACACCTGACGTCACTGAAAAAAAATGTTGACCTAAGTACAATGCCAGTTGCAGTTCCGAAACGGTAAAGAGTATGTTACTAAGTTACCCCCTCAAAAAGTAACCCATTAGCGGTTACGTCGTGACTGGGAACATGCTACCGACAGCACTGACTCGAATGAATGAACACATTTTTTTTATGAAGGAAGGAGAGAGGTGCCGGAAAGGATTGCAAAAAACATATTCAACAGTTGTGGAAAAATATATTGCCACGTCTCGTGACACAGGGGCGCCTCGTTCCTCGAATTGATTCAGCTGGGTGCTTACGAAAGTCCATATGGTATATATGAGTTTCGTAGTTTCACAGCCGCTGCAGCGTGAGTGTCATACGGCGTCACAAGCCTTGCGTGTCATCATTATAGTGGGCCATCGTTAAGATTCGTCATCAAATACTGCCCCAGCGAAACGATATAAGGTACACGGCGTAACACTTAACTCAATAGTCCTGTTTACTGCTGGTAAGTCGTAGATTGAGTTTTCTTCAGCCATGCTCTGCACACTGTGGGGACCTTGCATGTACACATTTCAATTCGAAACCCGATAATATATAGTAATTACTAGGATTTTACGTCCCACAATCCCGATGTGATTATGAGAAATGCCGCAGGAGAGTACTCCGGGAATTTCCACCCCACAGGTTGCACCTAAATCTAGGCACACGGCACGGGCCTTGGCATTTGATCGCGAAATCTAGGCACACGGCATTGACCCCAGCCAGAATTTGATCGCGCGCGACGACCCACAGCAGGTCCTGCAAGCACTTCTCAGATGCATAAATGGCGTCAAGGTGTGTTGCTATCTATCTATCTATCTATCTATCTATCTATCTATCTATCTATCTATCTATCTATCTATCTATCTATCTATCTATCTATCTATCTATCTATCTATCTATCTATCTATCTATCTATCTATCTATCTATCTATCTATCTATCTATCTATCTATCTATCTATCTATCTATCTATCTATCTATCTATCTATCTATCTATCTATCTATCTATCTATCTATCTATCTATCTATCTACTATCTATCTATCTATCTATCTATCTATCTATCTATCTAACTGACTGACTGACTGACTGACTGACTGACTGACTGACTGACTGACTGACTGACTGACTGACTGACTGACTGACTGACTAACTAACTAACTAACTAACTAACTAACTAACTAACTAACTAACTAACTAACTAACTAACTAACTAACTAACTAACTAACTAACTAACTAACTAACTAACTAACGAACGAACGAACGAACGAACGAACTAACTAACTAACTAACTAACTAACTATCTGTCTGTCTATCTATCCGCCTAGGACTTTTAGCTCTCCTGGCCGTTTCGATGATGGTATCGATACCAAACTTGGTATGGCATAACATGACTGTAGGAAGAACATATTTTACTAGTCATAACATGAAAATCGTGATAAGTATTTCACGAATGCCATGATATACCTTTCATGGTCCAGCAGCTCTTGCGATTGTTTCGTTCACATCTATCTATCTGTCTGTCTGTCTGTCTGTCTGTCTGTCTGTCTGTCTGTCTGTCTGTCTGTCTATCTGTCTGTCTGTCTATCTATCTATCTATCTATCTATCTATCTATCTATCTATCTATCTATCTATCTATCTATCTATCTATCTATCTATCTATCTATCTATCTATCTATCTATCTATCTATCTATCTATCTATCTATCTATCTATCTATCTATCTATCTATCTATCTATCTATCTATCTATCTATCTATCTATCTATCTATCTATCTATCTATCTATCTATCTATCTATCTATCTATCTATCTATCTATCTATCTATCTATCTATCTATCTGTTTGTCTGTCTGTCTGTCTGTCTGTCTGTCTGTCTGTCTGTCTGTCTGTCTGTCTGTCTGTCTGTCACATACCGCATACTTTCTTCCAGTTAGCCTTCAGGCCTTATTTTTCTTATTTTTTATTTTTCTTATTTGTTTCCGTCTGTCTATCACCCTTCCTTCTGGTGATTTGGAGGTCAGTTAAAAAGCATAGCTGATCTCTCCCTCATAGGAATCGGTATGCTACGAAAGTGAAACGCATCTTCACGTAAGTACCTGTTTTGCAGCGGTACATGAAAGCTTGTACAATGTCATTATTCTTTGACGTCGTTGCATCCACGTTGACGCCTAGTGACACATCTCGATCACTGCTACTAACGCCCATGATCGTGATGTAACCGCTGGGGTAGCTGAAGTTTTCAACATACGCCTGGACATAACATATTGTGAATACCGCGCATGGATAACATGTTAAAAGACTGATAGCATGGTAAAAGATGGCATGTTAAAAGGCTGATTGCAGATGCGGCTACTGCTAAAGGTAGAGAAAGTGAGAATTTATTAAAAGGCAGAGAGGCTAGCTAAAGATACACGCTCCGTTTTGTATATAAAGTGCCGTGCTGTATAGAAGCTACACAGAGTCTTCTTGCAGTATGAATGCGCGTGTGGCTCCTAGTGGTGCTTCGGCCAGCCAGAATTTGATGAGGGAAATAGTTTCACCGACCTAGATCATATTTACAGCTCAGTTTTGTTGAAAACGCGGGTCAATCATAATTGCAAAGTCTAGATCGATAGTTTTATCGATTTAGATCTTGTTTCCAGCCCTGTATGGATGAGCATGTGGTCAGGTGCTTTATCTGATGTCAGAATGAAACTATAAAGAGATGTGTGCACGGGAAATGCTGTAAACGTCCATCACGTGTTGCTTTCAGTTCACCAAGGACAAGTGCTGTTCAACTCGTGGAGTGTCCCTTTTCGCGCATCTGTGCAGAAGGGAAAGTTTTGCTATTTCATTGGAATGTTTTAATTGGATTCAACTTTGGACAGCCTGCAAAATTAAATTCGTGTTTCACATGGCACAAAAAAAGGAGTAGTGACTCAAAAACAGGATGCAGCGCAATTGATCGTGTTGTGGAAAAAGCTAGAGAAAATGTGGTAAAAATTTTGACAAATCTACATTTGTGACCATCTGTAAATGATGACTGCCGCCAATGCGAATTCGTATTAATCAGACCTAGCAGGAGCTGTCTATCAGGAGCTGTTGAGGCGACACTAGCCATTGTGAAACAGCATGCACCCGAATGTCACTTTGACTTTCCTTTGATACATACACCGACCTGCTGCATCTGCCTGTTTACGAAGCGTGACTCTTCCGTTTGTGAGTAACGCGAGTGCCCGGAGCTTGTGCAGCGAGGCTCTATACCTCTACTCAATTTTTAACAGCAGTTTGTTTTTAAATCTCGGCTAACCCTTAAGATACTTATGAGTGTTATGCTATGACGTGTAGAAAAAAACAGAAGCTGTTCTGCGGCCTATGCAGCTGAGCAAAATGCTGCAGCAATATGTGGAGCTTTTAATAATGCTTGCGAGGTGAATAAGGTATGAGCAAACTTTAGCGCTTCATTCAGCGCTAAGTAATCACAAGCAGGAAAAAAAGAACGCCAACACTAGGGTGCAACGGTATAGTGGTACCTGTGCCCGACTGCCGACTCAAAAGTCGTAAGTTCGATCCCTGCCGTGACATTCTAATTTCAATGAAGCTGGAACGCTAGAGACTCGTGCAGTGTGTGATGGCATTGCACGTTAAAAAACACCAAGGTGTCGAAACTTCTAGAGTCCTAAACTACGGCGTGAATTGTAATCATATCAAGGTTTTAGCGCGCAGAATCCGTGATATCTTTATATTGAAACACACGGACAGAAACACATAGTAGTAACGACAGGTATGTTGCACCCCAGTCTCTGCCCGTGTGTTCCTTGGCGCTGTAGCCCAAAGGTTTGATCTTGAGCCAGTGCAGCCAAACCCATACTCTGGGAAGGAGGGGGTCACGTGCGACCGCCGGCTGTCGGGTTCGCTTTTGAGGGGCGTTACGCGCACCTGAAAGTTCATCGCCCTGGCATGCGACATCCATCGTATTTGCAAAACAAAAGTTCCCTTGGAGTTTAACAGAAAGAGCGTACACATCGATAAAACGGGCGCCATAAAAAGTACACAGTACTTCATTGTGACACAAACCTGCCACCCGGAAGACAAGTTCGAAATTAATCTAAGGCAGGTGACCTGGCTTGAGTGGGAGCTACAGAAAAAAACATTTTTCATTTCACTTCATCTCACTTTTTTTTTTCATAGAGAGCGATCAAGCAGTGACCACGGTAAACGCTGCAATGAGACAGCTTGAGGTGCCCTTAGTCCTCGCGTTACATTGTGGCAGCAGGTCGCGCGATCATATTACAGAAACATGTTTTCATAAAAAAAAGTAAAAGAACCAATTGCTTATGGAAAACGATATACTATAGGAATCGATGTACTCTGAAAGAGAAGGCGCTAAAAGTGATGATCACAAAGGGAATAGCAGGTACAATACAGGCACCTGTCTTGTGTCTGCTCTTCCTTTTGTGCTCGTGAGTTTTAGTGCATCTTGTTTGAGTACATGAATAGCTAATTAGCCCAACAATTAGTTCTTGAGATATGAACAAAAAGATATGGCCCAGGAAGGGTGGTATACATGGCGGTATTTTCCCGCAGACAGTCGATTTCTATAACTGCGCTGTACGGAGAGTTCAAGGTTTACTGCTACATACATCACTCGGGTATATTCGACAAAGACTTCGATGTTAAGAACTAAGTAAAACAGGTTGATTGATTGAATGATATGTGGGGTTTAACGTCCCAAAACCGCCATATGGTTATGAGAGACGCCGTAGTGGAGGGCTCCGGAAATTTCGACCACCTGGGGTTCTTTAACGTGCACCCAAATCTGAGCACATGGGCCTACAACATTTCCGCCTCCATCGGAAATGCAGCCGCCGCAGCCGGGATTCGAACCCTAAAAGAGGTTGAACCTGAGTATACTAGAGTGAAGGGGACAATCAGCTCCATCTTGGGTGAGTTATTGTGCAATATTAAAAAAAAACTTGATATCCGATAACAAAGAAAGACTCATTTAATTCGAACATAAGTAGAAAAACGAGCGTTGAGAGTGAGATTAATTCAGTAAAACCGAACGGAAACCTCGAACGTATATACAAAAGCAGCTGTTCAACCGCCAACGTTTCCGATTCTTATCAGTGGCATTGACACAGGGCACCATGTATAAGTTCAGGGCGCATCACTACAAAATACTTTTATTGGGTGTCGTATTGAGTGCTCAAACTACTTTAAGGCGACGCTGATGGAAAAATAGCATCAAACGACAAAAGAACTCTAACAAATCTCTTCAATTGTGGAAACGAACTTCATGCGAATCAGTCAGTCAAAAGCAGCCTTTGCCGGATTTTTCGCTTTCCACCGAGCCGAGCTTGGCGAGGTGATTCGACATGTTCGTGTAATTTCAATAGTCAGTGGGCGTATATCGTGCGCTTAGAAGGCACGCAGAGTAGTGCATTGGTGTGTATGGGGCAGCTCATGTTCGCACGTAACGCCGGTAGTCACGTCTGAGCAGAGACGTCGATAACTTCGCGACGAAGCGCATGCTACGAGACGGTAACGTGCGCACCATACCAGGCGGGGGTATGTGTATTTCGCCCTACGCTTTAGTTTTCGCATTGAGAGGGGACTGCAGGTGGCAGCACCATCCCGGCGTTAGTGCGGAAGGCCGGTTGGGGGCGCTTGTGCGTATGCACACGTCAGCGCTTCGTTGAATCGGTTGAGTCAATTGTAAAGAATTAAAGCGAGTTCACTGCTTTTTAATGGTGACGCCTTCCATTGCCACATGAATGCATGAAGCCGCCCAAAAGGATGTTTCACATACCACGATGCAGCTGCGCACGCACCCCTCTTTCTCGCGCGCCCGCCTTCTCTCTCAGTCTCCCGTCGAGAGCGGGTCGTGCGGTGGATGTCCCGGAGGCAACGCTACCATCAACAACGAATGCAGTACAACTGAATGCCAGCACTGATCTCGTCGTTGGAGGTGACGGTACCGCGGTGGTTTCGCCGACGTTGGAAAACAAGGCGGCGCTGTGAAGGGCTCGTTAGACCGAACGTAAGCGGGCGAAGCGTGCAGCGGATGCCGAACTGCGTGCTCGCGAGGCCGAGTGCAAGCGGGCGAAGCGTGCAGCGTATGCCGAACTGCGCGCTCGCGAGGCCGAGGACAAGTGGGCGAAGCGTGCAGAGGATGCCGAACTTCGCGCTCGCGAGGCCGAGGACAAGCGGGCGAAGCGTGCAGCGGATGGTGAACTGCACGCTCGCGAGGCCGAGATGAGGCGTCAGCATCGAGCCGCGAACAAAGCGCTGGTACTAACCGTGAGCTACAACGATAACACGAATAGGTGCTAATCTGTAGTGTAGTTTGTGTGTGTGTGTGTGTGTGTGACGCGCTCGCGATGTGTGCATTTAATGCATCGTACGAAAATCGTGAAGTGTAAATAAATAATACATCGTATATAATGCATCCGTGTACAAATGCTTCATGACAAACAACACTTAAATTCATTAATTACACTTTAATATTCATCATCAGTAATAAAGTTCCCAAGCATTTCCCCGCGGGTGAACATGGTTAAGTGCGAATGCACGGCGTGATGCTATGAGGGGGAGTAAAGTTGAAATCCATTGGCATTCGCCAGTGAGTTAACGTAAACTCCCCCGTGTGATCAAATTGCGATTACCACGAACCATTACACCATAAAGGCACAATAGTGTGATTAATAAATGTAATAGTGCGAAAAAATAAATACTCCTCATAGCATCACCCCGTGCATTCGCACTTAACCATGTTCACCCTCGGGGAAATTCTTGGGAGTTTTTTAGCCTCTTGGCGTCACGTAGCACGTAATTATACGTCGAGCTGGTACCTGACTAATCAAAGGTCCTTGCTTGGCTTCTGAGCCGCCGTAGCTGAGCCGCCGTAGGTAGGCCATCACACGCGTTATTCGAAAATCGCAGGTTCAGCCTCTGCTAGCGGCAAGGTATCTTTTCGTCTACTTTGATTGCTTCACATATACATTACAATCATTACTAATAACAATCGCTATACCTTACTTGGCATTCTTGTCTGATAGTTAGCATTAATATTATGTCTAAGAAAAACCAGCCATTATATTTACTTTTCATCTATTTATTTGAACAATGGGGCAGCTCGCATCGGGACAGAAAATTCTGCCCACCCTCTCCCACAAGATATAACAGGCGTTTCTGCTCGTATGAACAGGGTCACGTTCGGCCGTGAAAACAAAGAATAATGCTTTTGGGTTTTCCGTGTCATGAAGCCGAACAAGCTTGACAATGTAGATGAATGGTCAAGTCAAGCACGTGTAAACCTTTCATTTTGACAAAGGGCAAACAATAACGCCTTGTAACAATTACAGAAAGTGGTGCGGAATAATGCATTCCTACTAGCCTTTCTTTTTTTTTGACTGTCATTAAAACTTCATGTGCACTTACACTTATTTTCAGCAATGTACCCTGCCAAGTGCCGGCTTTCGACAGCGGTTGATATTTCTGAGCTCCCTCGGAATGGCCGATGGTGCATGTCTTCGTACGAAAAGGAAAAGCTTCGCATCTCCACCAATCTGTACGCGCAGAACAACAGTCTTCAGAGGAAGCACAACAACACTGTGCTAGAGTTTTGCCAGCCGGCGTTCTTTGCGGAGCCGCAAAGCACGATGCAAGTCTTGGACGTAGGTTGTGGAACTGGCGACTTCACACGGGACTTCCTGCTGCCACGTTGCCTGCCGTGCGCCAGGCTAATCGGCATCGACTGCAGCGTCGACATGATCAAGTATGCTAGCCGACACTCGGCTCACGAGAAGATAGAGTATGAGGTGCTCGACATAGGCGAAGACGTGACAGAATTCATTAGTCATCGCGGACGCTTCGACAGGGTTTATTCTTTCTACTGCCTTCAGTGGCTGAAGGACCAGGGCAGCGCACTAAAGAATATAGCGGCACTGATGGCACCGGGGGCGCAGTGTGTACTCGTATTTCCTGCTTCGCACCAACCCGGTGCAGTGTGGAGCCTTCTGGCCAAGATGGATCGCTGGGCAAAATATTCCAAGGTAACGATGGTTTACTATAATTAGCTTGATCAGGCGCTTTCAGGCACAGACGGAGAGCGAGTGAGAGAAATGAGTTGCGTATGCACCCGCGAAATTTTCAGTTGAGTTGCCAGATAAACGTTATCAATCCCTTTAAAGCGACTCTGTCACCATAGGATGAAGTACAAGCCCTCTGGGTCGGGCACTTTATCACAGAAACTCTGATTACTGAAGGACAGGCACTTCTCACGAAACAGCACCACACCGTAAAACCGCGAGAACTTGTCAGGCTGGCCGAAGTGGACAAATGGAACATGCGCTCACTTAAATTCTACCATTCAAACACACGCGCACACATTGTCAGGACTTTGTAATTACGCGCACACGATAAGCTGTCGCTTAATTTTCAAGCATAGAACAAGTGAATTTTTTATTTCTGCGTAATTGCAAGCTGTGACACACATGGCGTACTCAAGTGATAATCAAATGCTCAATGTAAGCTATACTTGTGGAGTAACCCAATATACCAGCCTCTCTTTTTCATAGAAGGGGCGGCGCCCTTACTGTGTGCTTCTGTTTACATCGTGTCTGTGAACTGTAGTTCTATTTTCCAAATGGCCTCAAACGGATTTCGAAATAAAGTCGCGCCCATCGGTCAATCCTTTCATATTGATCAGCTAACAAGTGTATCTTTCTATAAAAACTAGCCCAGCAGTATATACTTTCATAGCGACAAGCTTATCAGTGAATCATTTCATAGCGACTAGCCCATCAGTCTATCCTTCCAGACTAATGCATAAGCCTATACTTTCATAACCATAAGCCCACCGTTGTATGCTTTCTAAGGGACTGGCCCATCAGTCTATCCTCTCATAACGACTAGCTATTCTATACTTTCATGGTGACAAGCCAATCGATGTATCCTTTCATATCTACTAGCCCATTTGTCTATCATTTCATAATTACTGGCTCATCAGTATATCATCTCATAACAACCAACCCATGCATGTATCTTTTAATAGCTACACCAATCAGGCTATTCATACATAAGGACTAGCCCGTAAGTCTATCATTTCGTAATGACTAGCATATAAGTATATCCTTTCGGGTGGGTTTGTTTCGAATGTGCTGCTCGTCTGTCCTTGGTACAGATGCTGCTGCAGTTTATAGTGAAGAGTCACTACATGGTGGACAAGACCGAACAGATGCGGTACATGTCCACACTACTCCGTGAAGCCGGCCTGTCCCCCAATATTTTTGTGCTGCCCAGGCTGGTGACGTTTGATGGGTGGTCCGAACAGGCCATTGTCGGTAAGCCAGGTGATGTAAACCTTCACAAAGTGGTTCTTTCACATGGACATTCTTGCACAATATATGTACGAACAGGTAAAATGCGTGGAATTGATCATAGCAGCTTAAGTTCATGAAAGATTTTATATCTCTCTACAAATGCTGACAAAAAATTGGGAATTGGAAGCTTTTTAATTATTGTACTAGGTAATAGTTTAGGCTTAGTCACGAGAAAATCTGTATACGTCGAGGGGACATCTTCGTTCAGCAATACAATGCAAGTCAACACGTGAACTTGCACACACACATACTCGTATATAAACACGCATACTCAATAACAAACGCGACGCGACAATATGAATGATAGAGCTTGATAAAAGCAAATAGTAATATTTGTTACTCTACTGCAATAAATAACTATTGATTATGTTAAAAATAATGTTTGATCTCTTAGTAAAAGAAGATAGCAAAATGTTCATACAGATTTTAGGAAGTTTTAGGTCTCATATTTCAAGCATATCGAAACATTGCACTAAGAGTATTAAGCATTTCAAACTAGCTTGAAGTCAGCCAATTTCGGACTCGCATTCATGTCTGTAGAAGTTATTTTGTGGCATGGCACGAAGTATGTTACCGTCCATTTGCTCTAACTGATGTCTTGAATTTACGAGGCGTGCTGCGTTTTAAGAACGCAGCACGCCTCGTAAACCGTCCCCATCCTACCACTTCAGTGGGCACGTCGGCTGGCCTGTGAGCAACATGCCAAATCCGTTTCTCTTTTTTGTACAGGTCAGTAACAAGTATTATTCTGTCAAAACCAGTAATCGTTGTTTGATTCAGCTGACGTGCCCACAAAGTGTCTTTTTGGCTTGTTTGGTCATTCGGAATTTTGTAGTGTCTTTACTGATGCTATGTGGGGACATCGAGTCCAACCCAGGCCCTACGGTTGAGGAACTTCTTGATGAGCTCCTCACTGGCCAGAGGAACATTCAAACTAGGCTTGAGGCGATAGAAACAAAATTAAAGCAGGTAGAAGCTGTGGCCTCGGACATTAAAGAAGTAAATGTGAAATTGTCAAGCCTGGAAAAAACTGTCCAATATTTGGAACACAAAGTGATTAACTTAGAAGACCGCAGTAGGCGCAATAATATTATTGTGTTCGGTATACCTGAGGATGAAAAGGAAACCGCGGATGCCCTTGATAATGCTGTTGTTAAAGGTGTGGTTAAGGATGTGCTTGGCGTACAGCTGAGATCAATAGAACGAATGCACAGACTTGGGCGCAAGCAAACAAACAAAAACCGACCGGTCATATTAAAATTGTTTGATTACCGCGAAAAAGAGGAAGTGCTGGCTAATTGCTTTAAGCTTAAAGGTACTGATATATCAGTTTCCGAAGATTTTTCCCTAGTCACAAGAGAAAAACGAAAAAAAAAAACTGTGGGAAAGCACTTCTGAAATTAGAAAGGCAGGCGGAAAGGTTACAATGAAATACGACAAAATTAAAATTGATGGCGAGCTGTTCGAATGGAATAACACTGAAAACAAAAGAATTCCCGTAAAGAAGGGCCGGGGTAGCCAAGAAATCAAAAGAATTCCCCTAAAGAAGGGCGGGGGTAGCCAAGTACGCAAAAAATGAAATAAAATTGAAGATGGCAAACCCCTCATATGCCTGAACCTAAATGCTCGTAGCGTCATGAATAAACTTGAACACTTGGAGAGTATTGTAATGACCCATCGCCCTCACATCCTGATAATCACCGAAACGTGGTTAAATTATGATATAAGCGATGAAGAAGTTACACCACCTGGCTACAAGATTTATCGAAAAGATAGAGACACGCGTGGTGGTGGCGTTGCTATTATGGTAAAACAGTCATTGCAAGTGATAAGGCAAACCGATATACCGGGCGTTGAATGTGTTATTATCAAACTCTATTTACACGACCTAAATTTGTCTGTAGGCGCATTCTATCGCCCCCCAAATAGTGATCACACATTCTTCGAAAAGCTGAATGAATTCCTGTGTTCTAGCAGATGTGACACAAGCAATGTGTTGATAGCTGGAGACTTTAATGTTCCGTCCATCGACTGGTCCGGTGATTTTCCGCAGCCACTCGTCTGTGCGGCGGAACCCATTGTGGACCTTATGCTCTTTCATAATTTAACGCAATTAGTCAAACAGCCCACGCGCATTCAGAAAGACAAGAGCTCACTCTTGGATCTCTTTATTGTTAGCCAGAGTATTGCAAGTCGAAACGTTGATGTACAAGTAATGGAAGGAATTTCAGATCATAAAATGGTTTTCTTGTCGATCCCTGGAAATCGTATCATCAAAACAGAGAAATACCGACGGTCGGTTCCAGTTTTTTCACGTGCTCAAGATGTGGACATTATTGACGCTCTAGACATGTCGTTTCCAACATTCTGTTCCCTTTACGAGTCAAATGATTGCTCTGTCGAAGACTTGTGGCACTTTTTTAAATCACTTGTTTTGTCGTGAATTGAACAATTTGTGCCCTTCAGAGAAATTTTCAGCCATAGGGTTAATCCATAGATTACAAGAGAAATAGTGCGTATGGGACGAAAGACAAAAAAATTAAGAAAACAGCATCGCAAGTCTCCATCACTAGCTAACAGTGAAAAACTTGTGTCAATGCGCAAACGCCTTCAAGAAAGCATTAAAAAGGCTAAAGAATTTTACCACAAAGTAACTATGAAAAATTTTCTTCTCTCGTCTCCTGAAAAATTTTGGCGCTATTTTTCCCCAAATAAGAAGTCAATTTCTAACATTGTAGTTAACGGGGAAACCGTCACTGACCGACTCACCATTGCAACGTCTTTTAACGACTTCTTCTGTTCAGTATTCACGAAAGATGACACAATTACACCTTCAGTCAACCAGTTCGAGAACATTCCCCCAATAAGCAACATTTCGATATCCCAGGAAGGTGTCCTTTCTCTTTTGCTTCAAATTGATCGTAAAAAAACACCCGGAATAGACTGTATTGATAACCACTTCTTGGTGAGGTACGCTGAATGGAGCTCACATTATCTGCATCTTATATTTAACAAATCCTTATCCCAATCTAAGATCCCAGAAGACTGGAAATACGGTAAAATTACGCCTATACCTAAATCAAACACTCCACATTTGGTTACTTCATATAGACCTATCACCCTCTTGTGTACAAGTGCAAAAATATTGGAACATATTATGTTCAAGCACTTATCAACATTTCTAGAAGAAAACAAACTTATTGACCCCAGGCAACACGGCTTCCGAAAAGGTCTATCTACCGTAACACAACTATTAGAAACAGTACATGAACTCGCCAAAACCCTTGACAGGCAAGGTCAAACCGATATTATTTTTCTAGATTTTGAAAAAGCGTACGATCGCGTGTCGCACCAAAAGCTGCTCTTAAAACTTCAACCCATACTGAAGAACGATACACTTCTGTCATGGATAAAAAATTACTTAAATTTAAGACGACAATGTGTAACAATTGATGGTACGTGCTCTCCAGCAGAGACAGTTATATCCGGTATACCTCAAGGTTCGGTGCTTGGGCCACTTTTCTTTCTTGTGTTCATTAATGACATAGTACAGGATATACCAGTAAAAATTAGACTATTCGCAGATGACTGAATCCTCTATCATGAAGTTCAAAGCCGCTGCGACCAAGTTCTTTTGAATTCTTCTTTAGCGAAAATACAAACTTGGTGTTCAACGTGGCAAATGAGTGTTAACAAGGCTAAAACGGTAGCCATGTCAATAACGCGTAAACAGCATCCCCTAAGCTTTCCATATTCCATAGATAATCACACTCTTTCCGTTGTAGAAAGGTACAAATATTTAGGCGTAATTATTACCTCGGACCTTAGATGGAATGAACATATTTCGTATATTACAAATAAAGCCATGCGTAAACTTGGATACCTTCGAAGGTCATTGCGAAAATCAACCAAGGAAATAAAGTTACTGGCTTACAAAAATTTCATTAGGCCCTCCCTCGAATATGCATCAGTTATATGGGATCCGTACACAAAAAACAACATTGATAAACTAGAACTCGTTCAAAGGAAGGGCATCAGGTTTGTTCATAATTGCTATCGCTGGCAAGTATCTGTAACTTCAATCTTGGAAGAATCAGAGCTGGATACATTGCAAAAGAGACGTCAGCTTGAACGGCTCAAGTTTTTGTACTCTCTTTATCATGATAAGGTGGCAATAGACAAGAGTAATTTTATCGACCTGGTTGGTAAGCGCTCGACGCGATCACACCACACGAAAAAGATAAAGGATTTTAGCTGTAAAACAGACACATTCAAAAACTCCTTTTTTCCGAGAACAACGCGTGAATGGAATCGACTTCCATCCAATGTAATTGATTGTACTACACTAAATTCTTTTGCTAAAGCATTGTCAGATTATCTGTAATTTTTTCGGTATCTTGGTCGTCACTCCGCTTTCCTAGTATCGCGACTTCTGCAAACTGATATGTGATTGTGAAACAATAATGTTGTTCTGATGTTTTTTTTTCTTTTTTTGTTGTTGATGTTGCGTGTGTCACATTGTAGCGCTGTTTTGTTTAGCGGTGCACCTCGGTCCAGATTTCTCCTGCTCTTTCCAGTCATGTCTTGTATATTATTAATAGTTTTTATCAGTGTAGGTCTTGCTTGGTACCAAACAAGTTGTTAAAAGTAGCTGCTGTCACTTTGTTGATTGCGTAATTGTATATTTTTTGTTTTTATTTTGTTCCCGCTCATTGTTGCGGTTGTTTTGTGGACGTATTTGCGTATGTTCTCGCATTCTTTTATTTGTTCTGCCCGCTCCTGCCAAAGGCCTTTTTTAAAGGCCGGCAGTAAATCTGAAAATAAAAAAATAAAAATTAAAGAATATACAGTTGCTTACATTATTGTAAATCTTGAACAATAAACTCTTTGCCATGGGCCGTATTCAGTACATAATAACTAGTGTGAAGTAGAAAGACAATACCACTGTGCTTGCTTTAGTATATTTAGTAATTAGCATGCATACAATATGCCAAACGGTGTCATATGCTACCGTATACGACCGTGCCTACCACACTATTAATTCGCTAGCAAAGTTGTCGAGCGGCTGTTATAACCATATGCATGTTTATCTTATATCTGAAGCTGATAATGCAGCAAAGAAGCGGTCGAAAGACATCTTCCAGAACGTCTTAACTCTCTGCATGTCCTGCTGGTGGCTTTCCAAAGAGCTTGGTTACGCTCCTCAGTTGTCACCACATTTAATTTAAATAAAACCACTACAACCCAGATAACTAGGCAGCATTTCACTTTAAACATTTACCCTGCGTAAGCACAAACCGCTTACGGTATCACAGTAGAATTACTGTGCGAAACATGATACAGCACTAAAAAAAAAAAACACTGTGGACAGTCTCGCACACTAAGGTGAGACCCCGCTGACCAAGCAACGGCGCTGCGACAAACTCGCGCGCTTACACTTCACGCTTTGACCTGCGATGCCTGAAATTCCTCATGTAGACTTTCTTTCCGTAGACTTTCCGTATGTAGACTTTCTTTATGGCCGGTGTATTCCGAGCGTGGCTGCACGCGCAGTGATGTTTGGGTTGACTGACTGAATTGTTGAGCTGGCACGGACATGTATTATACTGAAAAAAAAAAGAAGAGTTGGTTGACGCTGGAACATCTCCTTCAAAAGGAAACACGATTGCGTAATTGGGCCCATGCTCATCGCTTTTTGATTGATAGTCTAGCCTCTGTTCTCGGAGCATGCTTTAACCCTGCCGCGATAGAAAAAAAACGATTGTGCTTGAAATATTGGCCGTTTGAAACTACGCTAGAAGGCATACTGCATGTACATACAGTTGTTAACGGCCCACTACGCCATACTGTTTTGTTTCGCGAATCAGCAATTGGCCACTAAAAGTCCCTACACTCTAAGAAAGAGTCATGGCATCATGGCTGTATTCGAGAATTTATTAGACCACCTTTGGGAGGTAGAAACAACAAAGAGAGCACTTCGGCCGCAGTTACTGGACTCTTGTGAACCTTTCTTTCCTGCTTCTACCTTACAAAAAGAGTCACATGAATATCCGAAGAGAGTCACGGTGTGATGTTCTTTTAACTTTTTTTAGATTGTACAGACGGGACCACTGTTGAAGGGAACACTTGAGTAGATGGCATTTTTAGATTTTGATCTCTTGCAGAAGCATAATGACTTAGTTTTGCATAAGGCTACCGGTGAATGACAGTTATGACTTCTTTTGTCACACTAGTGCCATGTATCAACATTGTTTCTTTGTCCACTTGCTGTTAGGAAGCCGGTAATATGAACGTTGCCAATTTTAGTGTTCCCTTTAACAGCGGACTGTACTGTACACGAGACTCACGACACCAATGACAGTACTTTTCGTTGGTTCAACATCAACTACCAAAGTCTCCGAATTTTTTCGCGGCGTACGAATCTCCGTCAGATATGCATTGCACTAAAATACGTGTCTTTTGCTTTGAAAACCACTCCCCCAAAGGAAGCTGTGGGAAGTTTCCCTTTCGAGCCCACGGTGCCTTTCTTTCGTCGAAGGGGCACCCGAGCGGGAACAGCAGACATTTGTGACATGCAGACTTTCCGTATGCGCGGATAATCGTACTACTATGACTCTATAGTGGGTCCGATTTGGATTCGCAAAGTATTGCTAGCCAACCTAGCTCATCTAAATGCGCCACACGGTACACACCCAACATCTTCAGGAGCTAGATCTTCGTCATACAAGGCACAGTGTGTTAACTTCTCCCAAGCTCTCGACTTCTGCGTCTGCTGAGGATTCCCGGCATCTTCAGCCTCCCGCATTTTAGCTACAGTGCGCGAGCATTGATCACAGGCATTAAAAATAATAATTGTTGCGGTGTCACGTTCCAAAATCAAGCTATGATTATGAGAGACGCCATATAGTGGAGGGCCTCAAGCATTTTCGCCTTCATAAAAAGTGCGGCCACCATGGTCGGAATTCCATCCCGTGACCGGCTGCTGAGCAGCCGCGTGCCTTAGCCACTAGACCAATGGAGTTTTCTAATATACACTAGAGAGAACTCTGGCGCTAGTGTCTATGGAAGCTGCAACGCAAGGCGCTTCAGCGAGCATGAGACGGATGGGTAATACACAAATTTGTCTAATCTTCGTACTTCTGGCCTGCTTTTGGCTCCATGTGTGTTCGTGTGGCTTGGAGCTGTTTTCTCACGAAACAAAAATCAGCAAATGTTCAGCGGTTGCGCTTCACCACCTTATCCTTTTAGACTAACCTTTCCAAATCGGGTCACGAAGTTCAAAAGGGTTGAATCTTTCTTTCAAAACAAAACTAAAACACAGCAATAAACGAAGCCGCAAGTACGACTCGCTGCCAGCAAGTACGAAGACTAGGCAAATGACTGTACTACCCATCATTGCCATGGTCGCTTAGCGATCGCAGCGACAGAGTCCCCTCTAGTTAATTTTAGGAAACTCTATGACTAGACCACCGTGGCGGTTCATTGATTATTGGCGAAGTCGACGCCTAGTACTGGCGATAACATTAAGAGAAGCAGCGATGCGCATGGCTCACAGCTGCAGTAATCTTTAGAGCGAGCGCTGTGTGCCTTACCCTTCAACCAAAAGGAAACAGTTCCCGGCTTCGTTATGCACAGTGGTACTCTGCGCGATCACTGGAATGTGACCAAAGCTTTATTTTAGAACGAACGTTCAGAAGTAACTATAGCTGAATGTTTCCTTTCGCAGGAGCACAGATGAGTCTTCTTCCAATGAACCACCTTGTTACTGACGACGAGAGGGCGCTGCTCTTCGATGACGTCACGACGTTGGTTCGGAAAGTGCATGGCCCTGAAACTGACCAGTCGATCTTCCGCACGTACATCATCATGGCCTCCAAAGAAAGTGGCTAATGACCATGAATCGCTGAATGCACACGCATATGTGGTCAGCTTATTACGTTCTACGGCGAAAGCGAGAATGGCGACGTGTGAAATTTTATACTGAAAAAAAAAATGCTCACGTATACAGACGCAGGCTCAGAGAGCGTGAATACTTTGTTCCATGCAAACAAAACACGATTTCAATTTTAGGCATAAATTGTTGTCGCTGTTGTTGTGGGCATGCATTTTCTTTATTTTTTTATCTCGCTATCTTTTGTCTTTTTTCTCTTTGTAACGTCTATCTCATATCATCTTTTATTCCACTTACCCCTTTCCCCAGCACAGGGTAGCCAGCCGGTCTGAGAAATTTTCTGTCCTTCCGCTAATTTCTTTCCTCCTCCTTCTTGTTTACAGCTGACGTTGACTGATGGATACTGCAAATGTACTGAAGTAGTGCACTTCATATAAGCTACCTCAATAAAGCATTGTAAAAAAAAACGATGGGCAGGTGCCACCACCATGTCATCTTAGCAAAGCATTGGAAGCACTTACCTTTTTGAGCACCGCGTTGCATGCACTATCAACGCAGCGTGATAAACACTACGGTCCTTAGAGTTACTTGTGTGTGCCTTCTCTAGTATAAAGGCACACATACAAAACATCAACGTGTTGTCATGGTGCCTCAGATATGTGCAATAATTGTTTTTTAATTGGCAATCGCACATGTATGAACACTGAATCTTAAGCAATATTGGTGGGCGCTGCGAATGGAGTTGGCCGTTTGGTGCCGTTTGAAATACCGGTAAGGGCGAACAAACAGACAAATGTACAGACAGACAGACCAAATGTTTTGTCGTACGTCCCCAAGAAACACTATCGTCTTTATCACTCTTATTTCACTCATAATAGTGCAGAGAGCCGGCGGTAAACCTTCCGTTGTCAAGAAATGTGTTGATGTGACGGATTTCCTATTTCGCGATTAAACGAAGTCATTTATTTGGTTCCATAATGGCAATCATGCTGTAAGCATGACTGTCCAATAGTAAGTCGCACAGGCTGTACCGCGTTAGTCACCAAAGAGCATTGACGATATTGTAGCGATGCTGACGTTGACAGGTTAAAAAAAACAAGCGACTTTATTAGGGCGAACTTGTGCCCACGATTCTAAAAACTATGGTCGTCAAGTTCGAGTAGCCGAGTGGCACAGATCTGACTAACTTCCTCTTCCTCGTTGTTGAACGTCCGAACGCGTGGCGCATGCCAGCCGAGCCGGGTCTTGCTGGTGCTGGTGACGATGATTGTGGCGGGCTACTTGAATGTGGCGAACCTGTCGCAGCAATATTGTTTATTCTTCGAATGTTCCAGTATTTTACGGCTAAGCCGTACATGTCTATAGGTTCGGGTGAATCCCGTCCGCAGACAAAATATGAGTACTTGAACAATTTTTCGTGTCATCGTTCTTCTCAAATTGCCCCCTAGCCCCTATCAGGCAATGTAAACGACATTTCGTCGTTCACTAAGAGAGAAAAAATCAACCTGTGGTAAGTAAGGGTACCTTAGATGAAGCATACTCTCACATACCTTCAAAATGTTGGACATGTACGGGCCATTATTACATAACGATGGGCTCATGGGTAGAGGCTGTTTACTGCCTGGCTTATTAGCATCTTTAGCTCTTAAAGTAAAGTGTCATTTTCATGTTCAGGAGCCCTATACTCACGCGCATAAGACTTACGTAAGTAGTGGGAAAGTGGTGAGAAAGCTTTAAAAACTTTTGATACACAACGGAGTGCACAAATTTAATAACCATTGATACGTAAGAACATAGATTTATTTGCGAAAAACATAGAGGACCAATTTCATCGCTAGGAATAAACCCACAGTGGCAGATGTTTTTTTTTTACCTGGACTAGGTCAGTGACCTGCATCGTCATCATGATGCCTGACCAGACCAACTTTCGTCGGACTCTCGAGTAGCTCTCCCATAGTGGAGTACTTCACAGTAATATTCAGAGATGGCAAAATCACCACTGCAAAGTAATTCAACCAGTTTCTGACGCTATTTTTCGAACGGCAGTTTACTTCGCCGTGTGAACCTTCTCTCTGTACAAGGATGGCTCCATGCATGTGTGAAGCTCTGTGAAGGGATGAGTGAATGAATGGATCGATGAAAGAACCTTATTAACATCCAGGTGCTAGTGTGCTATCCCGAAGGTTTGTGATTGCCGTTATTTCACTCCGACATTAAAGTCAACTTTCGCATGGCACACCTGCTGACATCAATACTATAGTGACCTCTGGCTACAGTGCTAATTTTGCAGACATCACGCAGCAGCAAGGCATCGTGTAATGACACCACGAGGTACCAAAACATTCAAGATGGCCTCTCGTGCGTCACGAAAGGAGCCACGGAGCGGGGCGTCCGTGGAAACGCCACATCTTGCACGAACACGTGAAGTGAAGTTCATGCCGCGTTGTGACGTCAGGGTACAGTAGGTACGAGAACTACCATTTTATAAAGATGTTGCGAGTACTTATTCACAGTGCGCTAACCATTATCATTGCATATTATCATTGCAAAGGCCAAGGCTTTTGATGCCTTGGCCTTTCATTGGACGCAAAAGTAAGGTAGCTAGAAGTGTTAGTGTCCGTTACCATTTATTATATTAATTACTGATTAATTTTCTTAAATCCTTTAAAATGTAATTGAATTACGTTACAGTTGCAAGATGGCCGATATCACAGAAATTAAGTTGTCACTAGTTTTCCGAAGTGATAACATTGCTTTCAAATGTCATAACTGGCTCGTGTTCATGCAGTACGTTTTATTTTTAAAGCCCACATACATTGAAGTTTCAGAGATCATTGCTAAGGTTCCCGCGCCTGAGGTTTGGCAATCTGATGAACTTGTCTTTATTACTAATATTTATTTTTTTTGGTCCATCATTTTCGATCACAGTCGTTTAAAATAATTTAATACAACGCTGTTTACATGAATAAGCAAGGCAGTCACTGCTGAGTATTGTACTCTAAATTCGTTTTATTTTGCCAAACAAAATTGTTTGCTCGTCGAAGTCACCAGTGTAGATGCAGGGAAGCCCCGCCTCCCCCCCCCCCCCCTTTTTTTTGTACGCGTGCCGGGCTGGGTTTTTTGCTTACAACCTCACCACCAAAATCTCCTATTTCAACAACCTGAATTTCCCAGTATGGAACACACACCGCTGGAAACCAAGAAGGTACAACCACAGAACACCTACCAGTTTGTACAACCTCCTTGGTGGAAACAATTCAGCAAGCGCCACCTAGCAGCCGACGGCCCTGTTCTCCTCTGCTGGCGTAGTTTTACTTCGAGCTGCTAGGCGGCAACACAAGTTCCGCATTCGGCATGTTGCAGAACTCTGGAATCATTTCTTATTTCGGGGCGCTGCAGCGTTGTGCGGACACAGCCACTGTAGTGCGGGTGTGCGCTGTGACTTTGTTCATCGAAATGTTCGAAAATAAAAACAGCAACACACTAAAGGCTCGTGCTGAGTGTATAAATACATAGAGTTTTCTAAAATTAACTAGAGAAACTCTGGCGCTGCGATCGTCCAACGATCAATGGGAATGATGGGTAGTACAACGCCTCCTAGATTTTGCGTGCCTGCCGAATGAGCGCAAAACGCCGGTCGTTTATGGAGGCGCTGCCTACGTAAAAGTAAGGGTCTTTGTACTTGGCCTTTGAGATTCGCAATTTTTGCGTTTGCTACTAATTTCAAAGGATGTCTTGTATTTAAAAAAGTTACTTACTGAATGACGGCGTCACTTACGTAGGGTTAATAATATTTACGTTTACGTCTTTTTAAAACTTTTTTACGTTGTTTTTGTTGCATATAAGCTCTAAAAATGTAAAAACCTATTTGAAGACACCCCCTACTTGAGTGGCGCCACCACCATAGTTCCGACGACCGCCACTTCCCTAGCGACTGCCGATCACGGAGGAAGGAAAGGTAAGGAGAGGGCATGCCCAGCCGGCGCAGGGTGTAAAAAATGTGGCGAAATTACGTCACGCGTGGCCATATTCACTGGGCACAATGGCAGCGTTTTGTTATTGTTGATGTAGTGCGGCGCGGCACCGTTCAGGCGGTCCAGCGGCGGTGTGCGTGTTTTGATGGGCCTCGCACCTAACCGTGGCATACTGCTGGTGTTCGACAGCATCCACTCCTTGTGCCGCATTGTTAGCAAAGCGAATTTCCTCCGGTGGTGGTTGTGACCAGGTGTCTGAACTAGAAACCACGGAACGAGCTCGTGTATACGTACTCCGAACTTGCAGCTTCCGTCAAAATTATGCTGAAAAGCCATCATAGAAGATAACGACTGTGCTCAAGAATTCGTTCAATGAATGCCTTGCAGGTTAGTGACAGTTATGCGGTGTTGCTTCTTATGACAACGGACGATGCATTTGCGGTCCACAGGCCCCTATTAAGACTGTAATCTAATCTTGCTTTTCATGTTCCTGTACAGTTACCGGTTGGCGGTTGGCGCTGAGCTGTGTTCCAGATAAGGAAGACAGAAACAAGCGCCTTCTCTTCATTTTCCTTTAATGACTCGCCACTTATCCCGGAGACATCTTCCCTCGCATTTGGCTGGCTTTCCCTGCCGTCCCTGGCAGCTGTGTCGACGCGTGAACCTTCCCGCAGACTTTTTCTCACGCATTCCTTTGGCTAACTTTCCCACCTTTTGCCCTAACGTGATCCTGGTCTCCGTTCTCCGTAGCTACTAGTGCGCGTGAATCACACTGGAGACGTCTTCCCACGCACTTTCGGTTGGTCTTCTATGCTTTCGTCTTAATGAAATCATGGCCTTTGGGATGTTCGTAGGAACCAGCGCGCGTCGGACAAAAGAGGGGTGAAAACAAAGAGGCGGGCGCAAACTCAACGGGCTGCCACGCACACAAGCTCCACCGACGCCGACATTACTGGCATAATTACGGACTTCCGGGTTTATTGCAGGAAGACGTTTTTTCTTTTTTTATCGTTGTGTGGAGCCCACAGCCTGACCGGAAATTTCATAAAGCCTAAAGAGAAGCGCAAAAGGGGGAAAAAGTTATCTGAAAGAAGCTGTACAAATTTTGG